TTGTGTGTGTGTGTGTGTGTGTGTGTGTGTGTGTGTGTGTGTGTGTGTGTGTTTCGTGTGGCTCCTGCCCACATTTTTCTCTTCCCACTTTATTCCTCGACCTTGCCCTCGGTAATATATTCCCGGATACGTTTTAAATCTGATTTTTGTTTATGTGAACCTGAAGCTCTATTGACATGATACTTGTATCGATATAAGAAGTATACTGAGGACACGTGTGCATCTTTATCTATTTTTCCCCTTACTTCAACGTTCCGTTTGTCTGTCCGTCTGTCTGTTGTTTTTATAATTCTGTGTTACTCTGTGTTTTCCAGCCCAAAGCAACTTGTATAAGTACAAATGTTACCACCTCCATGTTCTTGTTGTTAACTCAAGCGAAACTTCAAACCAGCTGTCTTTTATTTCTTCCCCATAAATAATCATACTCGGTGGGTACATTTGGATCCGGGTTTCATTTTTTAGTTGGTTTCATTGTCAATTGTTGTTTTCATGATGATGGGCAGGTCCGTTTCGAATCTCCAAGATGGCATGGCATTATTTTGACTAGGATTAAGTTTCCGTGGCCGTTTGCTTTCTTGGTTCATTTTTGTCTGAGATATAACTATCTTAGTGCAGAAATGAGAGTTAACGCTTCTTACTGTGACGCAAATGTTTGCTCGGAGGTAGTAAATTCTTTTCTCACATTGCTTACGCGGCGTGTGATTTCGGCTCTGTGGGGCTTGGATGTATGGGGTTTGTAGTGTTGTTGTGACAGCCTTGGTGTATCTTGTTTCTATTTCATCGACTTTTCTCTTGATTAGTTTCCACGGGTGTTCGTTAGGAGCTCGAGTGTGTTACGGGAAGTGACCTACGGTCTTTATCGAAACGAAAAGGAAGAAAAGGACAGGACAAAGACGAACAGAAGACGCTGTTAATGTTGTGGTTGGAATAAACAATCATCGGTAAAAGAGGCAGTTTTAGAACGTTGTTCTATCGACCACGTCTATTGTGATAGGTGAACACTTCTCAGTTGTGATTTTTCACGTTGTGCCTTTCGTTGGATTCTGAACTCCTTGGAGTAAAACCCCTGGGTTTCACCTGTGTGATTGACAACGTAACCTACCGTGTGGATTTTTCATACACCCCCGACAACATCTCAGTCTGTTGCCATGACGACCAAAGGACCATTAGAGCCGGCCAGCTCCACCCGCAGCATGTCCAGCCTGGGGCCCATGCTGAGTCGATCTCGACGACCATCCGCTCTCATTGAGGAGAGAGATGTCAAGGCCGTCAAGGTGAGAGGGCATATGGAACAGAAACGCATTTTAAAGTCTTTTTTTG